ACCCTCACCCAGCTGTTGCATCTACATACCACCACATACCCTCACCCAGATGTTGCATCTACATACCACCACATACCCTCACCCAGCTGTTGCATCTACATACCACCACATACCCTCACCCAGCTGTTGCATCTACATACCACCACATACCCTCACCCAGCTGTTGCATCTACATACCACCACATACCCTCACCCAGCTGTTGCTATCTACATACCACCACATACCCTCACCCAGCTGTTGCATCTACATACCACCACATACCCTACCCAGCTGTTGCATCTACATACCACCACATACCCTCACCCAGCTGTTGCATCTACATACCACCACATACCTCACCCAGCTGTTGCATCACGTACCACCACATACCCTCACCCAGCTGTTGCATCTACATACCACCACATACCCTCACCCAGCGTTGCATCTACATACCACTACATACCCTCACCCAGCTGTTGCATCTACATACCACCACATACCTCACCCGCTATTGCATCTACATACCACCACATACCCTCACCCAGATATTGCATCTACATACCACCACATACCCTCACCCAGCTGTTGCATCTACATACCACCACATAGCCTCACCCAGCTGTTGCATCTACATACCCACCACATACCCTCACCCAGCTGTTGCATCTACATACCACCACATACCCTCACCCAGCTGTTGCATCTACATACCACCACATACCCTCACCCAGCTGTTGCATCTACATACCACCACATACCCTCAATCAGCTGTTGCATCTACATATCTCCTATCCTCACCCAGCTGTTACATATACATACCCTCACCCAGCTGTTGCATCTACATACCCACCACATACCCTCACGCAGCTGTTGCATCTACATGCCCACCACATACTCTCACCCAGCTGTTGCATCTACATACCACCACATACCCTCAATCAGCTGTTGCATCTACATACCCACCACATACCCTCACGCAGCTGTTGCATCTACATACCCACCACATACCCTCACCCAGCTGTTGCATCTACATACCCACCACATACCCTCACCCAGCTGTTGCATCTACATACCCACCACATACCCTCACCCAGCTGTTGCATCTACATACCCACCACATACCCTCACGCAGCTGTTGCATCTACATACCCACCACATACCCTCACCCAGCTGTTGCGTCTACATACCACCACATACCCTCACGCAGCTGTTGCATCTACATACCACATACCCTCACGCAGCGTTGATTACATACACCACATACCCTCACCCAGCTGTTGCATCTACATACCCACCACATACCCTCACCTAACTGTTGCATCTACATACCCACACTCAGCCAACATACTGTTCAGGCTCATGTAATTTACAGTGTTTATGTAAATCCAGAGATTCGGTGGCCAACTGATTTACAGGATTTGCACATGGTATGTATTTTTTTTCAAGACAACACTTGGAAGTCATTGACGTACTTGGTGCAACATTTACACTATGCACACTTAAGAACATAAGACCTAAGAACGAAGGAACACTGCAGCAGGCCTATGGCCCATGCGAGCAGGTCAGTCCCTACCAGCTTAAGCCAATGCACCCAAACTAGTCAGGTCTGTCATCCTTGACTAGGGAGGAACACGGCAACCCACCTGTTGCACAAGCTATCCAGGTCCAATCACACCACCCTCATCCACCTGTATTTATCAACTATTTAAGCTACACAACGTCTGGCCTCTATAACGTACTGGGAGTTTGTCACTCATCCCACAACTCTATTGCCAACCAGTACTTTCCTATGCTCTCCTAAATTAATTTTTCCATTAAAACCATTGCTGCGAGTCTGTCTAGGCTAGATATTTTCAGCACTATTTATCCCCTGGTTATGTTATTCCTTTTTCCATTTAACACTCAATCATACCCCCTAATTACGTCTTTCTAGAGTGCAGATTCAGGCCCTTAGTCTATCCTCACAGAAGGTTGATACATGGGATCAACTTTGCATCCCTTGTACATTTTCAGGCATTTATATCCATTCTGTAATACGGGACCAAAACTGTGCAGCATAATCTAATGAGGCCTAACCAGGATGTTAGAGTTGAAGAACAACCTGAGGTCGCTCATTATTATGCTTCTTGATATGAAGCAGGATTCTATTAGCTTATTGCGAACACTTATGCACTTTGTCTTGGTTTCAGATTACTGCAACCACACTCCTAAATCTTTTTTCGCAATCCTATTATTAAGACTACATTATTAGTTAATGTGGCATGTTATTGACCTGTCCAACTTAGACTTTGCATTGTCTATATTAAACTCATTCCACCTCTCCGACCACGCATCATCTATTAAATCTTCCTGGAGTGCTCAATGTTCTCGTCAGAATGAATTCGACGGCCTATTTTGTGTCTCGCAAACTTGCTGATGTCCCTGCTCTAGCGCTGATATTTCGCAGCCACACTGACCTGTCCCGTATTATTCTGTCTTCCATTATTTCCTCAATTATCAACCCCTAATTCTACGTCTTTCTAGAGAGTGCAGATCAGGGCCCTAGTCTATCCTCATAGGGAAGGTTTCTGATACATGGGATCAACTTTGTCATCCTCCTTTGTACATTTTCCAGAGCATTTATATCCATTCTGTAATACGGTGACCAAAAACTGTGCAGCATAAACTAAATGAGGCCTAACCAAGGATGTATAGAGTTGGGAAAAACAACCTGGGACTCTATTATTTATGCTTCTTGATATGAAGCCAAGGATTCTTTTGCTTTATTGCGAACACTTATGCACTGTTGTCTTGGTTTCAGATTACTGCTAACGAACTCCTAAATCTTTTTCGCAATCCATAATATTAAGATCTACATTATTTAGTTATATGTGGCATGGTTATTGTCCTGTCCAACATTTAGAACTTTGCATTTGTCTATATTAAACTGCATCTGCCACCTCTCCGACCACTGCATCAGTCTATTCAAATCTTCCTGGAGTGCTCCAATGTTCTCGTCAGAATGAATTCGACGGCCTATTTTGGTGTCATCGGCAAACTTGCTGATGTCGCTCTTTATGCCCTCATCTATGTCGTTTATGTATATTGTGAACAGCAGGGGGCCCAACACTGACCCCTGTGGAACACCGCTCGTGATGCTTCCCCACTCTGATTCCTCCCCATTTATGCAAACTCTCTGCTGCCTATTTGTCAACCATGCCTCTATCCAGGAAAAAATTTCTCATCCTATTCCATGTGCCTTAATTTTCCTCAATAGTCTTGATGTGGGACCTTGTCAAAAGCCTTACTGAAGTCCATGTACACAATATCATATTCATTACCATGATCAACCTCCTCAAATACCTTAGTGAAAAAAGTTAATAAATTCGTAAGGCAGGAACGCCCCTTTGTAAAACCATGCTGAGATTCGTTGATTAATTTATGCTTTTCAAGGTGGCTACGAACTGCCTCGTCAATTATTGATTCCATAAATTTTCCCACTATGGAGGTTAGGCTTATTGGCATTAGTGTACACTGTTGTACACTGCTGTACACTGTTACAAACTGTTGTACACTGCTACACACTGATGTACGCTGCTGCACACTGATGTACATTGAAGAACACTGCTGCACACTGATGTACACTGCTGCACACTGATGTACAGTGAAGCACACTGCTGCACACTGAAGCACAGTGCTGCGCACTAAAGCTTCATACATGCAGATCACAAACTAATCATGACTATAGCAGCATCATGCACACACACACATCAGCATCATGCAGGCACATATAGCAGCATCATGCAGACACACACAGCATCATGCAGGCACATATAGCAGCATCATGCAGACACATATAGCAGCATCATGCAGACACATAGCAGCATCATGCAGACACATATAGCAGCATCATGCAGACACATATAACAGCATCATGCAGACACATATGCTCTAGCAACGTAATGGAGACACGCACATATGAGGAGCTTAGTGAAAGTCAAATAATTATATTTTTTCATTGAGGTGCGTTTCTCTTGCTCATTGTACCTACCAAAAAAATTGAAATATGTACATAGACGCATATATATATATATATATATATATATATATATATATATATATATATATATATATATATATATATATATATATATATATATATATAATTACATGTTCTTCGAGCAATAAAAAAGAGGATTAGGAAAACAAATTATTTTTTTTATATTTTATTTACATGCAGAAAAGCAAATAATGATTGTCATTTGATTAAGTTAGCAGTAATTGTTTTTAATTAACTTCAGATGAATATAACTTGTAGAACAATGTTCTAGGAATATTTATCTTGTACTTTAGTCTGGCACAAGGATGTATACACTAAGAGATGTATATTCCTGTGAGCTTCGTTGAAATTTTAATAACTATTTCAGGAATTATAGTATTGTTGACTGGTGTACAGATTTAAAATGTGACATTGATGACCCTCGAATTGTCGGGGAGTCTTTACTGCAGTCAACAAACCATTCGAGTTTGAAGTATTTAGTTATAACCAAAATTCTCTTAATAGTAATACTTTTATCCAAATAATATTCTGTGCATTAAAGGGGTTATGTGATAATTATATTCTCTTTGCATTCACATATGCAATTTAATTAACTCAATAACAACGATTTATGTATGAATGTATTGTGGTATTTTTCTGCTTTGTACTCTATTTTTTTTACTGATCTAACTGAGAATTTATATATTTTTCTTACTGTATTGAGTTTAATTCCAGCTATTAAAACTGTATAATTCTTTAAGAAGTTTAGATTTTCCTAAGAAATTAGTAATAATTTATTGATCAACGTTTTTTTTTTTTCAAATATTTGCTCTGATCAATATTATGGGAACATTTTCGCTTAATTTAGGCAAATAATTAATCTGCAAAAAATAAACACTTAAAAATTATAATTTGGGCAAGGATCTTATATATAATATATATATATATATATATATATATAATATATATATATATATATATATATATATGGTACATGTTTGAGTTTGTGTTTTGTGACGAATTAACCGGATCACCGAATTTGTCCTCATAAGAAAGGGTCACTTCTGCCAAATAGGGAGAAAGAAAATTTGCTTATACAATGAATCTGCGAAAATCAGTCTGATATAACGATAAAATATATATCATTGACTTTAGTTAGTGTTTAATTTATACCGATCTATAATATATATAGTAGAATTAGGCTAAATTCGATTACGTTAGGCTAGGTGTAACTTTTCTGAGAAAGAGTAGGTGTAAAACTAAAAAAAATATTACTCCATATAGAGTGAAAATAAAAATTTATTAATCCATAGATGAAAATTTTAGAAAAGTTTCTTTTTTAGGTCAGTTGCTTTAACCCATTCGATTTATTAAGCTCGAAATATATGAAATATATATATATAAATAGTTGATATCTTCGTCAGACACTGGAGAATTTAGCTGGAGTAATGTCTTAGGCGTGATGTAGTGATTCGTTCGTTGCGACTCTCTTCCCCGCATTCCACAGACATTCTGACATTCTGTAAGGGAAAAAAATTATTATTATTAAAAATAGTTTTTAATAAGAGGATATGTTAAAGAGAATGCATTAATAGGTACAGCGTGCTTTAAACATGTTTAAAAGTAAAGATGGTGGTTTTCGGAGAGAGAGAAGCGGTGATCTTCCTTAGACACGCCGTCACATCGTTGTGCGATGAATATACTAATTTATGACGTTCGTTGCCTTCTAGACTGAATTCTGTAAAGGACGAAAGTAAATATTTAATAAGATGAGATGTTGCATGAGGAATACATAATCAATATATATATACATGACGTGCTGTTTGAATGTGAGCAAAGTAACATTAAATGAGGGATTCGGAGGAAACCGGCAGGCCGGTACTGATGTCCTGAGATGGGAATGTACAGTGGCCTGCAACTGAAGGAGGGAGTTTAATGTTGCAGTTTAAAAACTGTATGTAAAGCACTTCATGGATAGACAGTATGGAGTGATATGATGGTGAAAAGTTTTTCTTTTCGGGCACCTGCTTGGTGGGAATCGCGTGTATAATAAAAATAAAAAATAATATATATATATATATATATATATATATATATATATATATATATATATATATATATATATAATAATATATCAGTAACTGCAAGCAATAAGACATATTTAACGATGAGTTATTAACAGCGATGCTCCTACGCTGGTCATCGTCTTAATAGCATCGGAGTCAGCGGTGGCGGTGTCAGCAGCGTTGAGCGTCTTTTTTTTTTTTTTTTACCTCCAAAATTCACGCAAAAATGCGTGAAATTTGTATACATAATTATTTATACACTAGTTTTATTTTTGCTTCCAAATATTTACCGACAGTATCCCCCAAAAAGTGAGATTGCGTGTTGGTTTAAATAAAACTCGCATAGTTTATGATTTCTGTTTAGTAATTTACACTGCACACAGCATGAAAAACTTTAAGTAATGCTTTAATTTTTAAAGCGGTGGATGGGTAAGCCAGCGGAAGGCCTTGGTCACAAGATCAAAAGCTAACTTTGCTACACCTATGTAAGGACATGAATATAGGTAGAAAAAAATTATATGTTTCGAGGAACGCAGGCATTTATTCTTTCAAATGTTCCATTAAAACTGAAGGCATGCAAAACTGGTTATAGATTTCTTGAGTTTCCCGTAAATGTCGAAAGTTTTAATATTTTGGCTCAAGTGGCGAGTGTTAGAAAAATGATGTTCTTTAAATTATTTTGTTTGGTTGATGTCGTCCTCAAGATCCTTAAAATGTACAACTGATGAATGTGTACACACACACACACACACACACACACACACACACACACACACACACACACACACACACACACACACACACACACACACACACACACACACACACACACACACACACACACACACACACACACACGCACACGCATATATGAAGCAGTTCATTCTCCAGTGTAGAATGAAAATATCAGTACAGAAAATAGAAATAATTTTAGTGGAAAATACTACTGACTGTTTCTCTTTCTGCGTAGAATACCGGACCGTGGTTTTGAATTTATATATATATATATATATATATATATATATATATATATATATATATATATATATATATATATATATATATATATATATTATATATTATTATTATATTATTATTAAACAATGATGTACAATAAGCTATTTAATTGACTGATACTTAATGTTATAATCAATTTTTGCAGCAATTCAAAAGAATTAGTGTCAGATTTTGGCCTTGAGATCAGCGTGACACAAGACGTAAGTGAAGACGAAGACGCCAACGACGCTAAATTTTAGATTTCCACAGCTTCAATTTATAAAGAGACATTTCCTTGCGTGTCTCTCAGTATCAAATTTTCAGGACGTTAGTTTATGGTACTGCAATTGTTTGGTGAACTTGCGTGTTTGGTTACCTAATATTTTAACTTCATCGGTATCTTAGTAAATAGCTTCCTCTCCCTTGTCAAAAATAGGCCGAATGATTGATTCTGAGGTGGATACTAATGAACTCCAGCAAGATTTGGACAAATTTATGTCCCAAATCCTGCTAAAAACTGGCAGATTCAGTTCAATTTGGACAAGAGTAATAACCCTCGAAGTTAATAACCCTTGAAGTTATTCGTAATATTCAGTAATAAACTATTTGCTGCAAAGAAATGTTTTAATATGAGTTAAGCGTCTATTGAGCCAAAAAAAATCTATATTCATGTTGCTTTTAATCTGATAGCCTGTCGACAGACTATCAAAAAAGTCGTATGCCTAAAGTAGGCAATATCCTAAATTCTCAGTTTTTGTGCACTGAGAGATACACTCATCTTACTCAAATTTTCAAAATGCATAATGCTAGTGATTATCTACTAGCATACAACTTAATGAACAGTCAGCGCTAAGACAAGTGAATTAGTATTTTACTCTACCATCAATGAATTCAGGGAATATGGCTTTCAAATATTTGTTTTATCAAACGGAAAACTCAATGGAATCCGTACTGACATACCCGTTCTGAAATATGAGTAACAGTGATAAGGAATTTCACTGAAAAGCTATAACCATTACTTCAGGAGTTGAGAATTGTCGAGGTATTAGTAAAAGAGATTATCAAGAAAACAGGAGAACCCTTTTCCCTAATTGTGGGTGGCGCAGAGATCACTTATATTGGGGTCATAAAGTCTTCCCTTTGCCCTGGGGTTTTGATTTGTCATTTTTTTCTGTTTGCTATTTGATCTCTGGTGAGTGTTTGGAGGGGGTCAAGGGTAGCTAGTGCCTGGTGACGTGGAATTATGTTTTGAACGTTGGATAACATTGCAAAATCTTTGTCCCCTTACTTTTTAATCTTCCTAGTAATTTTCCTAGTATTAAGTCTGTTTTTTGTCTATCTTTGCAATTTTTGTGGTGGCTTGTGACACGAAGGGAAATTTACAGAAAGCTCTAAAACAGGTGCCATTATTAAGATGATTTTGTTTACTTTCTTTGCCGCTGAAGAAGCTATATTATTGTTTAAAAGTATCCAGCCTGTGTGTGATAGAGGTTACTTTGAATAAAGATGCACAGTATCGTAGCTGGAACAATGCACAGATAACCTTCACGTAGGAGACTGAGTGTGACCTGTTAATGCTTCAAGTCGTACCGAACGTCATCATAAGTCTCAGCCTCCTATGTGCGGGATACTGGTGTTAATACTGTTTTACTGTCCTCTCCATTTCTATGCTCTGGTTGGTAGCGGTTAGTTTGTGCGCCCCATATCTATCACGTGGAAAGTAACGGGTAGTTTGTTATACACCCCATTTCTATCCCGTGAATCGTAACGGCTAGTTTTTCCACCCCATATCAATCCTGTGACTTGTTGTGGCTAAACCCATCCTGGGGACGGTAGCGGGTAGATTTTTGTGCAACCCACATTAACGTTTGGATAGTAGCGGCTAGTTTATTGTGCAACCCATATCCATTCTGTGGAAAGTAGCTGGTAATATACTGAACAAGACATGTCCATCAAGTAGATGGTAAAAGCAAGTATATATTGCATCTTACGTCCATCCTGTAGTTGATAGCGCAAGATAATATGGGTATACAAAATGTCCAAGAACTAAGCTCGAAAGGAGATAACAGGAGTACATTTAAGTATATATTATTTACAAGCAAGTTTAGTATGCCTGTTCCAGAACTGTGAGAAAAATAATTGTCGCAAGTTTGTTGACGTTGAACAACCAACGGGACCTGTTGTGAAAAAAAAAAACACAAACAATCCTTTATTTGTACGACGTTTCACTTAACACTGGCCTTTTATCATTTAAACTGGTGAAACGTTGTACAAATAAAGGATTCCTCTATATTCATGAAATTTTCACCCCCTCTCTACGTACTGCTATGGTCTCCCCAACTGACTCGTCCCTGATACTCCCAGAAGATCCTGATCACTCTGCCAGTCTCCTTACCTTACCACGCATTACCCCTCACTGCCCTTCCTGGGAGGGGCTTCTCCCTCTCTTCTCCCCCCTCCGAGGGGAAATGTAACGCTCCCTCCGCGTCTGCAAGTAGCTTTTCCCCTCATCCCTAGATCACGACTGCTGCTGTTGCTGCTGCCCGTGCCTTATCCCCTTGTTGCTGTTGGCTCCTAAGAATGGCTCCTCTCGTGTCCCTGCACAAGATGGCCCCTCCTCCACCCATTCAAATGAGAGTTAAACAAGATCAATGAAAATGAATTAATGTAATGAAGACTTCAGTTGGATTATTTTTAGAATGCAATTAATTTTAAAGTTTAACTCAAAAGCACATTTCATTTCCAGTTCAGAGAATCATTTTTAGTGCATCTTTGGCCGAAGAAAAGGATGAACTACTTGCCCACTCAGAGTGCACTCACAGAATGACTCTTATGGGCCCAATATTTACCCATGAATGTAAATAATCACAGCTCGGTACAGGGCCTCACACACAGTACAGAGAGCGCAACTTTATTAAAAAAAACTACACCTCAACAACATGCCTCATATTCTTGTATACTACAGAACCACAAAATTTTCACGATAAACTGGTGGGGCTGTGATTATTATCTGGCGACTTGCTTAAAGCGTATTTTATAAATGGTTTAAAAAACCGACAGGCTGTTGAGTGAGATACTTGAACAACGCTTTTATCAAGACTGATGGACTGAACTTATCGACTTCGGCTGCCCTTGTGTGAGAATTACAAGCTTACGCTACCACAAATATCACTGGGTACTATGACTTGTACTATAGAACAAGCCTTATTATATATCGGGCTTTGAACCTGAGGTATATAATTCTGAATAAACTAACTCACCAATCACATTTTCAGATATCAGCTTTCTTAAAACCCCATTAATTTTTTTTTCTTGTTTAGTAAGGATGGTCGTTTAAACATCATGAAAAGCCTTGATGGATAACCGTAGCCACTTTTAATTACGACTCTGTCGTCTGATTTCCTTATTCTCAACTCTACTGAAACAGCATTGGAGAATCCTTACTATTTTTTTTATTT